GACTGTCATTCCTAACGGGTTTCGTGTCTTCCTCCTCCAAGAGCAGCCTGCCCACGAGACCTAGTTCTCTTGCGAGAAACCAGTTGATTCGTATCGTCGAACATTTCCTGTCGAAGAGCCGAGCTACATGTTCAGCCCACCGGCGCTTCCCATTTCTGCTTTAGACGACGCCATTCACTACCATCCCCTCTCTGATCACCATATTAGGGATGTGGTGGCCGCGACGTCAGATTTCCAACAGCATTCTTCTGATGGCTCTTCCGGTGACAGATAGCTGGCGCTCTTCTGCTGTACTGAGTGATCACGTTTTACAGCCATGCAGCATTGCGTACAGGTCGGTAAAGTCGAAGAGGTGCAGTCATGGTTTCGGTCCTGATATTGTTGAGGACGTCCTTGAAGGAATGGAACGCTTGCCTACGCCCATCTTTCTCCGTTGACCCTCTCCAGCCTGATTATGCCACATGTTGATGTAAATGTATTCATCAGCTTCGATCTATTCGCCATTTAATACTACCTTGACCACTGGAAGGGCATCCGGTCGCAATATCTTGATCAACTGAGTGGCGATCCAACTTCTGCACTTTCTCTCGTCGTCTTGTGGCTGACCAGCGTTTCTTAAAAATAGCATATTGTCATCAGCGAATCTTAGGTTCCTGATTTATTTGCCACTTATTTTAATCCCATTCTTTCAATTCACCCTCCAAAATACAATTTCCGAACAAGCAGTGTGAAGCTTGGAATATGTTGTCCCCTGATTTTATGACCGTTTCTATGAAAATCCGGGGAGATGTCGAACAGAATAATGTTTGAGAAGCAGCCAGAGGTCGCTTCACAGGTGGATGGAAGTTTTAATAGTGGTTCAAGCCCCATTTTGCCAATGCAGTCCGTACGAATAACCGAGCAGAGGCAGACCATCGACGAATTCATGTCGAGTTGGCAATGTCACGCCCATTAGCCAGAAAATTAACCGATGGGCTGCGCAGTGTCCAGAAATATATTATTACTGACTTGCTACCGGTCATCAACCACCAGTAAAGTTGAAGAAATATCATGACGCGAAT